GTATGAATAATATCAAAAACAAATGAACACATTTTATTACTAGCTTTAAAGGAATGTCTACAATGTTTTCCAAGCTGACAACCATCACACTCTAAACTAGACAAATTAACAGACTCAAATAGCTTTGGAAATAAGAAACGCAAAGAAGAAAAAGACAAATGACCCAAACGATTATGCGCATAATCCGACTCACAGACTCTGACTCAATATCCCTGCTAACATGATGACTTTGATGATGAGGAAGCGCATCCAGTAGGTAGATTCCATTCACTTCACGACCACTCCCAATCGTCCTTTTTGAATCCAGATCTTGCAAAATACAATGGCCATGAGAAAAAATCACTGAGCAATTCGAGTTCTTAGTCAAACTACTAACAGATAACAAGTTAGTACTCAATCTGGGAACATAAAGAACAGAGGGTAGGGAAATGGAAACAGCAATCTTGACAGACCCCTTCCCAGCAATAGGAACATGAGATCCATCGGCTGTGGAGACTCTGTCTCTACCAGAACAGAGTTGGTAAGAAGAAAAAATAGTGGAACTATGGGTCATGTGCTCTGAGGCTCCAGAATCTATAATCCAAGGAGGTCCCCCCTTTACCTGTAATAGAAACATAGTTTGCAGTGGCATGTGAACTACCTATATGAGCAAAGGAAGTAGAATGTCCACCACCAGAACCACCTGTACCTAGTTGTCCACCTGTTACTGGATTGGGGCTGACTATATCTCGCTGATTTAGGAACTGCCCGTATCTCTCAAGTTCGGCCCTCACTGCAGCAACTGCAATAGACTCCAAAGTAGCTGAAGAAGGGGGGCCACGTATGTCACTAGTGGCTGCCATGTTAGCATTTCCCTTCTTGTTTTTAAGTCTATTCGGCACAAGATGAGGATGAAGCTTCCAGAAAGTATCTCTTGTGTGTTTAGGCTTCTTACAATAGTCACAAACCAAATCCTTCTTATCTTCCTTCCTAATTTCACTGCCACCCCGGTCTCCACTCTGTTTAGGTTTCACAGTCTGACCATACCTGATTGTTCAAAACCAGAATTCTTCATCATCACATTCCTCCTACTCTCTTCCCTTGATACAAAGGCATATGCCTGAGAGTAACACTGTCCCTGGAAAGGATATGTTGCCTTGCCATATCATATTCGGGATTAAGACCAGCAAGAAATTCAAAGACCCTATACTTTTCAAAGAGCTTCTGGTAGGCAGCTACATCCTTAGTGGTTTCCCAAACAACTGTCTCCAGATGGTCAATCTCCTGCCACAGGGTTTTAAGGGCTGAAAAATAAACAGCAATAGGTCTATCTCCCTGCTTGGTAGCAATAATCTGATTCTTCAACTGATAGGTCCTAGCAACATTTTCACTCTATGAGTAGGTTTCTGCAACCCCATTCCATATTTCTTTAACTGTATTTTCCCACAAAAAATTTTTACTTATATGAGGCAGCATTGAATTGCACAGCCAAGTCATTACCATATAATTCTCCTATACCCACCGGGAGCTGTTAGTCTCAGGTTTCACATACTCACCAGTGATATACCCCAACTTCCCACAAGCACCAATGGCCATCTTTGCAGATTGTGACCATTCTAAATAGTTTGTACCATCTAACTTAACTGTAGTGATGGTCCCAGCCCCGAAAAGATCTCCGACACCTCCTCCCACTAGTCTCATTTCACTCACGGGTTTGTTTTCAGCTCCATTACCCTCTATAATTCCCAAACAAGGGTTAAAAGATCACTTTAAGATGAAAGAATATGAAATAAATCCCTTCAGGTACCACAGACACCCTTCTGGTACCCCAGATGATACTCCCACAAAAGATTCCCTTTCTACGGAACGGGAGAAGAAAGAGAAGTGGCAGTCGCTCTCTCCAAAGACCTCCATAAAAGGTAGGACTTGAACCACCCTCTTCAGAAAACTCCAAGGAACCCTAAAAAATTAGGGCGCCACTTCCTAGGTCAAAACTAAAGAGTCCAACAAAAACATGACTCTCCCCCTTTCTCTAGTTCTTCCTGAATTTGATGGGAAACCCTAGACCAGCCACAAGGTAAAACAGATCCACCAAAAAATCCAAAAATTGGGCTTACCTAAGGTCTTCGATCAGCCTCTCATATCACCATGCAGTCGGCCGATCTAGGGCTGCATGATAGAGCAGCTCAAGAAACCTTCGGCCTGCTCTGATACCAAGTAGAAGTTGCTGATAACTGATTCCGATGTAGACTTAGTGAAGAATAGTAAAAGACACTGAAAGGTTTCAGCAAGAGAGCAAAAGAGAGAGAGAAGAAGAAGACAAAGTGGGATGAAGCCAGAATTGAATAGTTCTGGCCGCCAACCCCTCATTGATTTATATACTTAAAATAAAAGAATTGAAGATTACAAGAATGCCCTTAGTAGGGTGGCTACTTTAAGTAGCTGAACAGTCACAACTTAAAAAACATAAACTAATGGGCCTAAAGCTCAATAACTTCCTAACTTAACAACTTAAAAATAAAAATAAAGGATTGGGCCCAATAACTTGAAATTGGTCCAACTCAACATAAATCATGACATAATCAAGAAGTTTTGGCACAATCAAAGTGCCACATAGGAACAATTAGGTGCCACATAGAACAATCAAAGTGGGAATGCCTACCCCCTAATACAAAAAACATCTTCCAATACCCCCATGCAAAATGTGATATGGCCATTTCAAGCAAGTTAAACATGCCTAACCAAATTCAATTTTTAAACATTAAAGTAAAATCACCTATGTGGTGCTTATGTGAAACCAAAACAAAAACATAACACCACAGTTCCCAATACCGCCCTAGTACTTAAATTCATAATCTTCAAAATTTGTAGGGCAGTGGGGCACCTAAAGAAATTTTCAGTATTGGTTCACTTTTACCAGAAGTATTTGCCAATCATCCCATAATGAAAGATCTGAATGTCAGCATAATGACCACAAGAAATAGGAACTTTCCTCTTCCCCTTTAAATGAAATATGGCATAGAAGAGCCAAATGAAATATCATCATTTAATTATCAAGTTAAAATCCCTGCAAGTTAAAATTATCTTTTCTTTCAATGATTCAAGTGGTTTGCTGAGTCACTACTAAGAACTTCAGGCAAGGTCATCAAAACTGTCATAAAGTCCAAATAGTAATATCATAGATTTACCAACAATCTTTAGAGACAAGATTTTCTTTATTTTTTTGACAAGTAAAAGAAAAAAAAATCATTAAAAGGAAAAAAAAGGAATATAAGCTGGGAGGTGATAAGGCATCACCAAACAACAACAAGAAAATAAACTACGTAACTTCAAATGTCCATATTACAATTTGTAATCCCACCCCCTCCCATAAGCTTTCCCCAACATTATCTCACTCGACCTGAAAAAACTCTGGAAAGATCAAAATCCAATTCTTCTAAAGAATTACCAACCACCGCCACCTGCTTGACCAGCATTCAATTCTTGTCTTCAAAAAGTCTTCTCTTCCTTTCCATCCAAATAAGCCAGCAAATAGCAAATGAAAGACAGCTGCAGATTATAATGGCCAACTTCCTTCCTCTGATTCTTGGCCCTGATAGAAAGATTCAAGGATAGCAATCTCGTTCCAGCTCAACCTCCAGTACCTTCCTATCTATTTCTTCCAAAAACCCCTTCACTCCTCTCCAACCTCGTCCCTGTCACTTTCTTCTCCTTCCATTTACCTCCCCCCTCCCTAATAACTTTTTTCTATTGTTTTCTTCCCTTCTGTTCCTTTCAAACTGCTCGATTGCCCTTCTAAACACACTCTCCCCTCCCAAAAACAAAAATAAATAAATAAACCAAGAGACTTACCCACCTCCACCTTTCTCTCCACAAGCTTCTCAATTTCTATGCTCTTCTCCCCTAAACCTCCCTCTTTTGAGACCTCCTCCCCTCTAGGCCCACACCAGCCTCGCTTCCCTCCTGAATCCTTTTTCCTAATACCTCCAACTCACTCACCCCCCTCCTGTCCCCAATTTCTTTAAAATCTTGAATGTTTATTCTTCTTTTTCTAATGTAGACCCTTTCCTGTGGTTCATCACTTTCTTCCAGATTGTTAAACTTTCTCTTTCTTTTATTTCCCTTCTCACCATCCTCTTCAGCTTCGATTACCTCCTCCCTTATCCTGTCAACCTCTTCCAATGTTTTTGAATCAAATAGTGGATTCAAACTTCCTCATTATTCAGACAGTCAGCAATGTCTAAAGTTCTTGACCCCAACTCAACAATCTCCTTTCTTCTTATCATCACTGAGTAGTCCACCTGGTTGGTGTTATCTTTCTCCTTATCCTTATCTTCCCTCCTTGCATTCCTCAACACTCTGTTCCCGCCAACAAAATCAGGTTCCTCATGCAGTTCCGCAGTCGGTGAGAGGATCTAAATTGAAGAAATACCAACCTGTCGTCCTGTCCATGAACACAACTGCGATCTTGAGAACCCATCGCCTCTTCATATGTTGACTTTCCTCTCAGCTGCTGATTGATTTATTATGCAAAGAAAGTCCAGGTCCTTTCTTTGCATAAGACTAAAATAAAAAGTACTTGACCTATATTCTGTCAAATGGTTAGTAGATAGACTTCAAAAAAAATGGTTAGTAGATAGTGACTCAGTGGACAAACTAGTTTTCACCAGTAACTATTTTTGCATTATACCCTATGAAGATTTTAACTTCTTTTTGATTGGCAACAAGAAATACATCATCAGAATGGGTGATTAGAAAAGGGCTTGGCAATTAGCAAGTATAGGAGGCACCCCCCAAATATCACATCACCTTATAGAACAGCATGTTGACTCTCCCTCTACTTAGCGTAAATTGAAGTTACAACAATGCCCTTGTTGGCAGCTGTACATATAGAACAAGATAAAAGAGAAAAACTGAATATGGTATGCTACAATATAGTGTATGTTACCATATAGAGCTAATTCAAAAAACAATTAGAAACACACATGCAAAGAAGATATGATGTAAAAGAAAAGACTTACAGATGAAGCAGAATCACTTGTCAATCCAGGGATCACTACCAGAATAGGGGTTTTATCATCTTTAGAAATGGTGGTATTCATGTGGGAAGCCCCTCTCGTAACTGTAGAGTAAGCATATTCAGGAATTAGAAAAAAAAAAAAAATACCAGTTTACAATAGTTATTGTAGACTCAGTGAAGTTATTGTTCTTCTACCAGATTATAAATATTGGGACCCCATATAGTTGGGATAAAGCTTAGATGATGATGATGATGAGTTGATGGCATTTACAAAGTTTAGTTAAACATAAACCTGTTCCACATGAAAGTTACTCCTATGTATGTCTATGATTATTAAATTTTATATTGAGTAAAGTGTTTTGGAAAGAAAATAAAAAAGTATCCAGCAAATTTAGTAATATAAAATTTAACGATCATACACATGCATAGGACTATCTTTCTTGCAGAAGAGGTTCAACTGTAACTAAACTTTGTAGATATCATCATCATCATCTAAGCCTTATCCCAACTATATGGAATCAGTTACATGAATCCTGTTTCACCACATTGTTCTTTTTAATTCCATATCCATTGTTAAATTATGAGTGCTTAAATCATTTCTTACTACTTCAGGCAATGTGTATTTTGGTCTGTCCCTAGCAGCCTATCCCTTCTAGCCCTTTCAACTTGCAATAGATCAATTCTTCTTATAGTTGCTGTAGATGGAATTCCATGCACATGACCAAAGTACCAAACCATCTTAGTTTACTTCTCTCATTTTATCACCTATTGGAGGTACTCTAAGGTTCCTTCAAAGACTTCATTTCTGACCCTAAACATTGTAAATGTCATGGCTTAAAATCCAATTGATATCTTGATATTTTTTCCATATCTAATGCAGATATACTAAAAATATGTTGATCTCAGATGATCATTGAATGAAAGTATATTGATAAGAAAATGTGTTCCTGAAAACAGATAATAAATCCTTTATATTTCTAAGATTCTGAGCATAATCATAAATGTTCAAACCCAAATATGGGGAGAAAACAACCTAAGAAGGAAAATAATACATGGAACGTGTTATTAAAACAAAAGGTCAATTTACAAATGTAGATTACAACAAATAGAATCATACTTTTAAATGGAAAAAAAAAATGCCTCTGCCACTTGAGATCCATTTGGCAGTTAGATACATGCAAATATTTGATGAAAATAAAAAATACCTAACTTACCATCAGAATGCATCAGCCAATCCAAAGCTACAGTTCCACCATCAGGTGTATGGAATAGCTGCCTGAAAAAAAATATAATAATCATACTTATATAAGAATAATGAATTAGAATTTCAAGACACTTCCTTTAGTAATGCTAATAAACAGTATCTTCTGCAACTTTAGGGTTTTTGAACCCACAAACATGGTGGAACCCATTGAAAAAACACAAAGCATTACAAGAACAATCAGACATATCCTTCAGGAGTCCTTGGTCTGTAGGGCAAAGAAGACTTAAAAGAGTTGCATGAAGCTCACTAGCATTCCTCCACTACTTTTGAATGATATGCAAAAGAAGACATCACATATGACAGGACATCACATAACTATTATTGCATACAAACAAGCAACTTGAGATGCCAATTCAGAAAAGAGACTTGAGTATACATATAAAGAAGTTAAAGTTGTTTTTCTTTATATCAAAAACAACAGAATATATTATTACCACATAAAGATTGTACAAATAAAATAGTGTGTAATTTCTCCCTTCACAAGACATAAAAGGAGAGAACAGACACACAGACTTATAAAATGAGATAACCTTATTCTGCCAAAATCAGCCCATTTCATATGAAAAAAAAAAAAACTTCGAAAACAAAAAAATAGAAAAAGACACTCTCCTACTTGCCAGCTTGAGATTTTACCATCTGAAAATGCAATGGCTCCTCCCCATAAAATAAAAGAAGAAACAATACTCCAAACTAGAGAGCTGAAAACATCCTATGGAATAATTGTGTGTAAAGGAATTATGCGCTTCCAGTCAGCTTTTCTTCAAGGTTGGTGATGGCTCAACAATCAAAATCTGGGAAGACGAATGATTGGGTATGGGAAAGCTTCGTCAGTTTTGTCCTAGACTGTAAAGATTGGGGATGAAAAATAGCTCTGTTGCGGAAACTTTTGAGATTATTCAAGGTAGAGCTGTGTGGTGCCCAAAGTTCAGGAGATCTCTCTTTGATTGGGAAATTCAAGAGTGTGTATCTACTTGCAAGACTTCAATCATCTGAAACTCAGGTGGAAAGGAAGGACTCAATATGATGGAAAGAGTCTCAAAATGGTCTATTCTCAATCAAATCTTTTTACAAGGCTTTGTCAAGGCCTAATGGAGGAAACCCAGAGATAAGAGGAATTTACGGAAACCCTGTTCCTCCAAGGGTGGAAGCTTTTGCATGGTTAGTAGCATTAGACAGCATGTTGACATTAAATCATCTTTAAAACAGAGGTTTTCACTTAGCCAGCAAGTGCTATCTTTGTGAGAATGTTTATCATTTGTTTGTCGAATGCCCCTACTCAAAGTTCTTATGGGGTTTCTTCTTTAGTCTACTCAAGACTAATTGAAGGGTTCTCAGTTTGACAGAAGAGATATTTTCCAAGTGGCTAAGTGTAAGTGGAAATGTCAAGGCAAAGATTGTTTGGAGCTACATTCCTTTTGTTGTTTGTTGGGAATTATGGAAAGAAAGAAATAGGAGAATATTTTAAGAGAAGGATCAAGCAAGGGAACGTATCACCTTACTATGCGGTAAAAGGATAATGGATTGGGTGTTTCATTCTCCCAGAGTTTGAAGGAGTCAAAAAAGAAGACCTTGGTTCTAGTTTTTGAAACTCTGGATTTAGCTTAATGTTTCTCATGGTGTTGGATTTTGTGCTTTTTTCTTTTTCCATTCAATGTCCTCTTTTGTTTTTGTTCTCTGCTATGGTTTGTAGCTAATGGTGATACCTCATCACTACTTGATGAACCTTTTTTTCCTCTATTAATAAATTTCTTTTGTATTTATTACCAAGAAAACTCCCTAATCTAGGGTCCAAATGAAGTAGAAGGCTAAGATAGAAACTAACCCTCCCCCCGGCACACACACACACACACACTAAAAATAATAGTTCTCTTTCATGTTTTCTTTACTTTTAGGCCTTGTTCATTTTCCGGGAAGTAGGAGCAAATAAGTTGGTAGGTCCCACGGAAAAGAAATAAACCCACATTCATATTTCAGTATCAATGGGTCCCGCGGAAAAGAACAACCAAGTGGCTCATTTACCTAGGGAAGTAATACTCTCCTCGAACTTGGGTAAATTACTTAACCATGCGCACCGAAAATCACTAATACATGATGGGACAATATTGTCCCTTCAATAATGCCACTTTTTTGGATAAATTGGCCATTGACTCACTGTACACCTTTGCCTGGGGAATAAAACACTTCTTATCCAGGTAAGTATTTCCCAAGAAACACTTGCCCAAATAAGTGCATTTGCCCAAGTAAGTCATTTACCAAGACGGAAAGAAACTTTATTGCTAAATAATAAACATTGTCAATAGTCAACATCGATTGTAACAAGATTTGGTATTGAATTTAGATATGCTGCAATAAACTACCAGTCACTTGCTTAAAGCAAACTCTGCAACTTTATTAGTAGCATCTCATATTTACTCATAAACACAATACAACCCTTACAGAAGATGGTGAATATGCTTGAAGAGGACCTATTCATAATTTGTAGGCAGAATTTTTTCCCCATCAATTTGATCTTATCTCATAGCAAAATTTTCAACTCTACCTGCATGCAAGGTTTTCCATCAGAACAGGGTACAACTTTCAATCTTGACTTTCAAGGACATGGTGTGTATTTCTTTTTTGTTTGGTCTCTCCACACTTTTACTTATTTTGGTCATTCCATAAAATTATTTTGGGTGCAAATTCCAATAAGAACCACCAATCTTGCACTGTATAGTTGATATCGAGAAAGGGAACTTATTCTGAATCATGGTCCCATTCTAAAACATGAAAACCTTTGTTGACACTGGTACTCCAATGCCTCGTTGTGGTAAAAGCTGCATTAATCTAATTCTTTGCTCTGTCAATGTCTCTTGATTGTTTAATTTGTCTACATTATTGGCATAGCTCCATTATTACAACTCTCTTCTTCCACCATGTTCACCTCATGTGCAGTTATCCCTGTTCTTCTTGTGAACAAGCAGAGATGGAGACAAAAGTAGCAAGGACAATTTTGCCTTGATATAAAACCAGTGTAAAACAAGTGGGAGATGTTGACAATGGGAGTGGACTGCTTCAACCAAAAGCACACAACAAAAGTGAATTATTACATATGAGAAAACAAGATTCTTACTGCTACTTCAAGGCAGACCTTTAGAAGGAAAGGTTTACCACTTCGAAGCATCGCTCTACAAAATGTCTTTGCATTTTATGCCTTAAGAGAAGCACTATAATTGGTATATAGATTAAGGTGCAATGAAGCTTAGAGTTTTATGTAGACATCAATTGTCGATTCCAATAGATATTTTCATCAGAGGCAAAGGTGAAAAAGCAAAAAGTAGCTATTTCAACAAGAATATAGGATTCCCTGCAATCTCAAGCTTGAACTCGGTATGGAACAAAATACCCATATTATCTAAAGTTTCTTTCATCTATTCTTCTTCTCTCATATAGCTGAGGCATCCCATTTCAGTCTAATATTCTGAAGGAAAATATAATATGTGTTAACAGACACTTTGAAGTCGACCATCAAACACAATGTACAAAACCATCTTCTATCCATCTCCAGGAACAACATTTCTGAGAACAATAATCCCATAATCGAATAGAACACAAAAAAAAAAAAAAAAATGTAGCTATAAAATCAACTCTTCCTACATGGTTGGTATATCGAAAACAGTAACGACAGTTAAATAGATGGATTGACATTCACCTTCTGTAGCTGAAAAAGGGAGGCCTTCCAAAGAAGTTCAGAAAAGCAGTCTGAAAATGTGGACTTGAAAGCCATGGCGTAGCCAAATACCTGTACAAATTGAGACATTAAAGACTTAACTAACAACCAATTTCGACGAATCCGAGTTTCAACCCCAAAACCAAAACTCAAATACAGAAACCAATCCAATTACAAAGAATTACCTTCCGTGAAGAATCCGGCACTTGGAAACAACACCTTCATAGATCTCCGAGAACGAATTGAACGTCAAGGACACAGGATCCCCTCTAAAACCATGCAGGAGATCTCTAACAAAATGAAACTCCAAGAAATTATACAAAAATACCACCAAAACGAATAGAGATCCCAATACATAGTACAAAATCGGTATCAGCGACGCCGCTTGCAGCAGAAGTTCCAAGGCGGAAACAGGGACCTCTTTTGAATTCCTGAACTCCATAGCCACCTCGAAAGATCACCAGAACTCAAAACATGAAAATCCCAGATTTCTAATTTGTTGGGTCTGGTTACCCACTTGGTTCGATCTCGCAGGAGTTGGTTGAGCTAAGAATGAATTTTTGGGGCCCAGAACGACCACGAGGCACGAGAAGAAGCTGGAAAAAAACGATGTCGGATGTTGTGAACTTGTAAGTTGTAATATAAAACAAAGAAAAAAAAGAAGACTTTTGGGCGCCAGATTAAACAGATTTATGACATCCACTCCAGCATCGGGGTTGACGTGGGCGTCAGATTAAACACCTTTTTTTCTGACATGTGATCTGAATAATCTCTGCCGTTTATTGAGTCAAATATATACGTTTAATTTAATATTTGCCTTGAATTTTAGGAAATATACGATGAATACTTATTTTTACACTACTAATTAAACACATGCTTTCCAAGTGATAAATTTCTTTATATTAATTAATTTTAAATATATAATAGTTAATATAGAAAACAAAAATAACAATATGATTAATATGATTAAAAGTAAACTTAAATGCTTGTAGTAAATATGCATATGCATTGCATGTAGAAATTTAATTTTATATTAAAAATTATTATTATTATAGTAAATATGTGTATGCATTGCATGTGAAAATTTAACATTATAATAATAATAATTATTATTATTATTATTATTATTATTTCTTATTATTATTATTATTATTATTATTATTATTATTATTATTATTATTATTGTTGTTGTTGTTGTTATATTTTATATTCCATTTCTATCATAAACAAAATTATTTTTATTTAATATGATGAGTATAAAGTTTAGAAATGTTCCCAGATGTTTTCATCATAGTTCTCTACTTTTTCATTTTGTGTTCTATCTTTTTTTAAATACTAGTGGAATGGCTCGTGTGATGCACAGGGTATTTAATATTAACAGTGATGTTTCACTATGCTTTTACATCTCAGGCATAGATGAAAGTTCACATGCTCTTCAAGTCCTAAGACAGTTAGATAATGCATAAAAAAAGACTATCCTTACAAAATGCTAGGATCTGAATTTTAATGCACCAAATCAATGATAAAATGTTGGTTGCAAATGCATTAGATTGAAACATTAATGCACCAAATCAATGATAAAATTACATTCAACGACATTATATACACATACAGTTCTTCCCAATGAAACACAAAATTTATGGAGAATTGGAGATGCCATTGTTAACCGATGTCCTGTTTTGTGATAACCTAAAACTTATGAAAATAATTACTATTGATGGTTAGAATTAAACTAAGCTATTATGTTAATTTAATCAATTAATTGTTGAATAGCAGAAGTCATTATCTGAGATGACTATACTGAAGCATCATGAGGGAGATAAAGACTGTAAAGGGATTTACATCTAGTTTTAATTGGATAGCAAGAATAGCCAATGCAATGGCAAATGCATTGGCTAAGCAAAGGGATAAATAAACATCTATTCTGGGTGCAAGTTGGAAACATAAGAAAAAGAAACCTATCATTATAGTAGACAAACCTAAGTTATAGTGGATAAAAATCAAAACAAAAAGTAAGAATTTTTGAAATTTCTCACTTGCTGCTAAAAATCCTTACCTTTTGGAAGGTTTGAGCTAAAATGCTGCTCCAAACTACATTTTTGGAAGGTTTGAGCTAAAAAACCCGAAATGCTGAAAAACTATCATCAGTTGGACCACTGAAACCAACCATGGTTCAAGCTATCGACACACCTCTATGTCTGGAGTATAGTATCAATACTTATTTAAACCTTTGATATAACATGTTGGCCATGGGCATATGTTGGTGGGGTCTTTGGTTGGATGTAATGGAGATTGTACATGGCAGCAAATTTCTGCTGTGGGTTGTAGGGAGTTATGGCATGCTTACGGTGAACCCCACCCCCCAGTTGTATACCCCCATGAACCAAAATATAAGTAAATAAATAATAAAACTTATTATATATCACTTGCATGACAAAAGAAAAAAACATATATGGTGTATAATTACTTCAAATGTTTGTCTAAGGAGATATCTCATGTGCTTATGTTTCCTTAATAACAAAAAACATAATAAGAGAAGCCTAAATAACACAATATCTTTATTTAATTTATTCATATGTTACATTCTTTCAAAACAATCATTTTACATGCAACAAGAAGTTGAGAGTGTTTCACTACAACAATTGGTGATGTATCGATCAACAATTCCATAATACATCTTCCGTCAGCTTCTACTGATAAGAAGAGGAATAATGACACTCCAAAATCCCAATGCATAAAAACTAGCAACACATGAGAAGAAAAATAGGTCTCCACCCATCAATCTTGAACCTCTTTCTTCATTGGCCTGTGGTGAGGGGTTGGGTGGCATTGAACAATTGACTTGCAATGGTGGCCCACAAAGCTCTGAATTCCCAATATAACTACTTTCGGTGAAAGTGTGAAAGTTTTCTTCAAAAGGGATCTTTAATTTCCAGATAGGTGGTTGAAGGCAACATTGAATGTAGATAAGGAATGGAGTTGAATCATCTGAGGAGGGATATTTCCTATTAAACTGTTATGAGAAAGATCCAAACTCTCTAACTGTTCAAGCTTTTGAAAGGAAGTAGGAATGTGACCTGTGAGAAAATTATTAGATAGGTTCAATGAATGAAGCACTTTCAGGTCTCCTATTTCAATTGGAATTTCACCTGTGAAGGCATTGTTAGATAGGTCTAGCGTATTTATTGCCAAGAGGCCAACTTGTGGAGGAATTGTTCCTTCAAGTTCATTCGTGGACACATTAAGATATAGCAACAATGGAAAGAGATTTCTCATGTTTAAAGGAAGTTGCCCTTGAATATGGTTGTGTCAAGAACGGAGAGTAACGATGTTTCATTTTCAAGAGGCATTGGAAAATCTCCACTTAAATGGTTACCACTCAGTGACAACAAACCAAATAGAGTATTATTGTACAACAACTTGGAAGGAATGGTTCCTTGAAAAGGGGCATTGTCCAATATTATACTCTTTAGTTTGTGTTGGGTAGAAAGGAAACTGAGAATGATATTGCGGCTTTGTCTGTTGATCTTGTAATTCTGTAGATTTAAATTCCCGAGTTGAAATGATGGGACCCAATTTGTAAGAGGACATTGTTTGAAAGGTCAATGGAATTTAGATTAGAGTGATTAGCAAAAATGAGGAAGGAGAAACTTCCATCCAAATGGTTTTTAGAAAGATCTAAATCCTTTAAGGAGTCTATTTCACTTAGACATGACCATATTGGACCTTCAATCAAGTTTTCCCCAAGATTCAACTGCTTTAGATACTGTAATTCACAAATCCCTTCAATGAAATAGAGAGGCTCACATGATTAGACAAGCAAAAAATGGTTCCTATGGAGCATGATTAGTTGTTGATGAGATTTAAATCAATTTTTTTTTTGTTTTTTTAGAAATTGGTTTTTTGTCTTTGTATATCTCTTAGATAAGTTACGTTAATCGGATGTAATGAATATGATTTATTTTGCATGGTAACAATGACCAACCTGACAGTTAGCTTAGGTCATATTAGAGGGAGAGTCCTTGCTTGGTTGGTATGCTTTCAAGAAAACAAAGATTTGAATATATATATAAGGGGTATTGATATTTCCTTTTTATAACTTCTTCTTTTTCTTCTTCTTCATTCTTTATTTTCATAAAATTGAAGAAAGGGGTTATGATATTTTGATTCACAAAATTAAAGAGTATTGAACAATTTATCTAGAAGAGATGAGATAATTAGATTTATTTTCCTTTCCCCTTGCAATAAGAATTATGAAAGAAATTATAGCTGATAAGGACAACTTTTGGGCCCCAATATCAATAAAAATAAACTTTTTAATATAATTTTTAAATTAGGTAAACTTTTTAACAAATATATCAAAGAAGGGCAAAACATTGTTCATCTTCATCTCCTCCAAACCATATCCGCCCCAGCCCAAGAACTCTCAATGACCACCATTCACCAGCTGGAATTGGGCCGTAAAATTGGTTCTTGAATAGAGGAAGTAATTCAAGCATCATTAAATTACCAAGCTCTGGCTGTAGAAGACCAGTTAAATTTGCAATGGCAATGTGGAAATATCGGAGTTTCGATAACTGCCCGAACTCCACTGGTATTCCTCCATAGAACTCATTGTATCCAATTTCCAAATGCTCGAGCTGAGTCACAAAGCCTAAATCTGGCGGAATCAGTCCATGCAAGAAATTTCCAATTAAATGTAAATAGGGTAAATTATGAAGACCCCCCTACATTATGGGATTTGTGATAAAGACCCCTAATACTTTGTTTTGTAACGAAGATCCCACTGTACTATGACCGTAACACAAAGACCCCATTGACCCTTAAGTGAGATGACGAAATACATTAAATTATCAAAATACCCCACTAAACTTTTTCTATTTTCGTGTTTTGCCCTTTTTTTTCTTAAAACCTATTTAACCTATCGTTTTCTCTTTCTTCTATTCTTTTCTCCTCCCTCACTGCCCTCTCTCATTCTTTCTCTCTCCCAACTCTCACCCAATGCCATGAGAAGGGATTTTCTGCTCATCCCCTCCAAACCCAAGCCGCTCTTCGGCCTACAGAGACGCTCTAACCTTGGAGTGTAAGAGGTAGCATCATCATAGCCTACAAGAAACGATGAGTTAAGGGGGAACCCAAATCAGAAACTACAAATTCAATGAAGATTGCAAAAGACAACTTATACGGCTCCTATTTTCTCAGAAGTTCGGAAACTGTCTTAGGCATGATACACAGAATACCTAAATCGGGAAGGTGGATGGGGGCGTTTGCCAAATCCTGAACGAAACCAATGACATTTTAAAGGGAGATAATTTATAAGTTACAATTACAGCTTTACTAAGACCATAGCACAACAAATGAAATCTGTTAGTGCATAATTACCTAAAATGGGCATAAAGAAATGTTGAAATGAAAACGACGACGACGACAGTATTCATGAGGAACCAAAAATGGAGGATTATGCACATATGAAGTTACCTCGCATAGAAACAGAAGCTGAACTTTCAGAACTACGTGGCCCGGAGAAGCACACGCTTTCCCGACTAGACACGGTTGTACACACACTTCTCGCCATATAAATGATAAATCTTGTCAAGGATCGGATTCTTTGACCCGAAATTCGCCAAAGAAG